ATCTAACTATCTAAGAGATTTAAAGTTTTTATTTCCAAAAATATAAGTGAGTAGTTATTGATTATTTTCTAGAATAAGCCTGCCAATTGTAAAGCTGTAAAGCTGAATTGTAAGCTGTATCCCGTCGCACCCAAAAGAAGTCAGCGCAAACGGAAACATCTTCGGTGGAGTCCTCGCTGTACCATCCCAAGCTCTTCGCTTTTCCCTTGTTGTCATCTGTGTTCTGAAGAAAGGAGCCTACCAAGAATTGGTCGTCGATTGGGTCGTATCCCAGGAAAGACGGGTTGATGGGCATCTTGTAAGAACCAGTTGCTCTGATCACATACCTATAGTTGTAGTATGAGTCGGCATCAACCTCCTCAATGGCATCGATAGGGAAGGTTAGGATCTGGTCATTAGATCCTCTGGAGTCGGGGATGTGAAGCACACCGTCCTTGAAGGCGAGGCCCCCGGCATGGCAGTCCTCGTAAGTCTCGCCGTCTTCGTCGACGAAGAGAATGTGTCGATATTTGATGCGGTCCATGTCGGTAATGTCAACAAAGCTGACGCGAAAGCCGCGGTTGCGATAGTCAAACCTGCGCTTCTTCTTTTTGCCATACCATGACACCAACAAGTACTCTTTTCCATCGTACTCGAAACCACTGATGCCTTGAGGTCTCCATTTGATCGTTGCATCGTCATCGTCTTGCCACAGGAAACCAATTGAAGAGTGAGGAAAGTCGGGGTAGCCATCGAACAAGTCTCCACCTTTGCTTGGATTGATCTTTTTGCCCTCGCGATTGTAGTCGATAGTGGATGGATTCAGGTAGTTGATGGCATCATCCAGGGCGCGTTCGAGTCCTCGAGGATGATGATCATCTTCATCGGCAACGTGAGAAGTTCCAACTCGAGCCAGCGAACCAGGAAGGCTCAAAAGGGCAACAACGAGAAAGGACAACACAGTTTTCATAGTACTAACGTTGCTTCGCTTCTACCAAAGTGCTTTGATTTGGATTTGTGCCGAAGCAAACTTTGTGAGAGGTAATAGATGAGACGAGGCTCTGAACCCTTGCGACTTTGAATTTGCGAAATGTAACCTTGGATCCATTTCATGTGAGAATCTGGCAACAATTTCCATCTACAGTGGTAAGAAGGATGATCACTTTCACGGACTCATCATAGCATTGGCCCCATCGACCAGATGATCACACCGGAATAAAAAAGGATTCAAAACCTCACCAGATGATCTGCATTCAGGGTACACCGGCTAGTAGCTAGCTAGAAGAAGTTTGGTTACCTTCCACCAGATTGGTGCAGGTTACTTCGCAAAAGCTGCACAACTAACTTGATACATGACACTAACCCCAGGGGGAGAGCCCGTGGATGAAAACGTTTTGATCTTCAGTATCTCTTTGCTTTCTTTCACTTTCCATTGAATTAGTAGACCACCAAATGTATTTACAATTTGATTGGTGTGTCAAGGTTGTGTCTCTCTTAGCTAGTACCAGGTAGTAGAGGAAGTTGTCGAGTTCTCAAGCAATGGTTTTGAAATTTCCTCGAATGAAGGACTTGTGAGTTTGCGGCTAATAAAACCATTTCAGTCGTGGATAATACCTTTCTTGTGCCTGCCCCAAAATCTTGCTCTAGCTAGCTAGCTAGCCTAGCTATGCATAGATCTAGCTAGACTAGCTAGCTAGCTTGATGGTGGCTAGTCTATCCAGGCTATGTGATGACTGTTCAGTCTATCCAGTTTGTTTGTGCCATCTACACAAGTGACAGCTTCAGCAGCTGAAAAAACCTTCGCCACCAAACCCTCGATGGCTCGAGATCGATCTCGTGTGTTGCCCTCACTCGCACACAATATCTTTCTTTTCTCTTTTCCTAAGAGGGTTTATAGAGTAGGGAAGTTATCTAAATCATTCGTCAAATGAAAACAGTAAGACTAAATAAAAAGTTAAGGCGCGATGGGGGCTGAGCTTGGGCAGAGAAGGTCGCCTGTTGATGGAAATTACATGTAGAGGGTGGGGAAGAGAGGGTGGAAGGGAGAGGGGACAAAGGATGCAGAGAGGGGGGAAAGGAGGAAGCAAAGGGAGAACTAGGGAGGCAGAAAAGTTGGGAAGGGCTTGGGAGGGCAGCACTAGTCGAAGAGGGCAAGTGAACCATGGATATTCAAGAAGGGACGCACCTCTGGTGGGAACTGGAGGGTGGGGGAGGTGGGAATAGAGGGAGAAAGACAGAAAGGCAGAAGGCGGGACAAAGGGAGAAGAGATGCGCAAAAGGAGGACAGGGGGGATAAGGGAGCCAGAAAAGTTGGAAATGGCATGCACGAGAGGGCATTTGGTGGCGGTCGTCCGTCCAAATCGAGCCCCAACACGGCATCACACATCACAATACGGTCCGCCAAAATTCCACCACAGCTCCAGGGAAGACTCTTGAAACATCCCTTCAAGCTTGACGCGACTTACGGGTCTCGGTGAACCTTTCAATCTGGTCCATATTATGCCCTTTCGTGTTGTCACCCTCACCCATGGCAACGTCACCAACAGTTGCTTGCCGAGGAGAGAAAAGCGAGTTGAGAGAGGAACTGGCAATGGCAATGAAGGAATTCCAGAACGGAGTCGAAACAGATTTACTGGCGATGGCCACTTTAGCTCGTTTGGGCTTGGTGCCCTTTTTGCTGACAATAACCGGTGCTATGATCATTGTTCCGTTCGAGGCAATGGTTGCACTTCCATGGATAGCACCAGACGAATTAATGTTGGCGGCGACAAGCTTGCATATACGGCGACAACCGGGAAAAGATATTCTCACCATAGCTCGTTCGGGCTTGTTGTTTTCGTCAATTGCCAGCCCCGCGATGAAGAGAGCAAAGACAGTAGCGAAAATTGCCTGCCCCACAGGTACAGGTAGAGCCTCGATGACGCGAACATTCCCGATGACATCAACACAGAGACTGGCCATACCAAGCCACTTAATAATGGTGGGGCTGCGATGCCAAAGGTGCAACGCCATCAGCGCAGCTAGAAAGATTCCGACAGTAATCATGGTATCAAAAACAGTGTTCTGCTGAAGCAAGAAAAGCGAGCAGTTTTCTGCTGAGGGGTGCGATGGTGCGATGCTTCAAAGCAGCTCGCTGATTCGTTGGATTCAACCATTGCGTTTCATCTCAGGCTTTCATGAGATCGCTAGCATCAAATCCCATTGATTCCATACCGTAGTGCTTCTGGGCCCCGTGAACCTCTAGCCGTTCCACATGCAGGCAGGCTTGGTAATACCAAGCCTGCCTGCTTGAATCGCAAAAAAGAGAAGCATGTGAGTTCGGATAAGAACGGGATTGATTAGTCACGAATACAACTTACCACGGAGAGGTACATTCTTGTGTGTCGTGGTGGGAGTAGTCCCAACTGTGATGCAAGTGCCTTGTAATGTTCTTCACCGCCATGAGGCAAGACCCCCAGAATGCCTCTACTTCTTATCATTTTCCTTTGTGGTTGGAGGGTTGTCTATCACAGTAGTACTAATAGAACGTCATCAAGCGCCGCCAAGTTGTTGCGCATTCACCGTCATCATGTCATTGTTCGTGGGCCATTTACGTTGATTTGACCAAGGATTGGGTTGGATTGGATTATTTTCTTCCTATTCTGGCGTAGCTTTTGGTAGATGGACTACTAAATACCCATTCAAATGAAGGTTCGCGCTGGTTTTGTTCGAGAAGCCACCTCCCTGCTCTAGCGAGCTATCTTTTGAATCCTCCACGACCATTCGAATGGAACCAAATATTTCCTCTGTCAACCAAGACAAGTCGGGCTCTCTGGGAGTCAGCCTCTGCTGTGAACGGGCTCTTTGTCGCCCTTGCTTGTTCTTGGAGAACTTTCGGAAGGTTTTTCGAAAATTCGTGATTGATCACGAATGTGACTTTTCCTATGGGAGTTGTAATGTCATTGGTTACACTCCCCTTTATGAAGTCGGACTAGGATTACGTATCGACTCCCGACGATCTATCATCTACCTTGTTTTGTTGGTATCTTTCATTCATGAAGTGCATTATGGAAGTGGCTTGAAAAAGACACCATGACCGAGCAAAATGGTCCTGACAGGGATTTGGTCTCTCTTGCGAACGGTCCGCCACCGGTCAGATATGCTCTTGCTCACATTGAACCTTCCAGGTTAACTCAGTCTTCGAACAGCTACCATGCGGACCCGCGATCACGTATTTATGCTACTTTCGAAGAGGCGCGAAGCCAGATGGAAACTCTTTACGGAGGCTTCTTTGGGCCCTACAAGCTGATTATATCCGGTGGCCCGTGCTGGTTAGGGGGAAAGAAGATTGACAGCGAAAAGAGAACAAAAGCCAATCGATACAAATGTTCAGTGGAACTTTGCAATTGGAGAGCCCAGATACGTGCATTCGATTGTCCTGACAATCACTTTACGAGTGTCTATGCTATTTACATCACCTCAAGCAGTCAACACAATCACGACTTTACCCGGGCACCGAAGCATCATACCGATCAATACGGATTGCCTCCAATCATGAAGCAACTTGCTTCATTCTTTGTATCTTCACAGTGGGAGACCAGAAGACGTACGGTCCTGGAGATTGCCCCCAACGAGATTACATCATTCATTTTGTCTACGATATTCCGGGAACACGTTGCTTATCAGCATCTAGTGGACTCCAACACCAAGCGATATCTTGTCGAGCAGCCGCACGCAAAAGAGGACAACGATCCTGATCCCTATCTGTCCACGCTGCCTGGCGTGGAAACCTGAACCCTCATGGGTTCTTCGACGAATGACTCGACTCACAGTTGCCAAACTGTACCATCTCACAAAAACACGAAATCGATTCCACACTTCGCTCCTACTCATCAAGTACATCCTACATCTCTCAGGTCATCACTGCGTTCCTGAAATGGATACCCACATACATGTCGCTATGTCTGCCTCCTTCGCAAGATCAGCTCTAAGGCAATAGCACCCCTCGAAGACCGCTCACAGATAGCAACCTTGAATGAACACAAAAGCAAGACCGGTCCAACTCTCTCTTTCAGCATTGAACAGTCGTCGCAAGAAGGTTGTCTCCTTCTCTCTGCTCACAATTCTTCTTCAGCCGAGCTGCAAGCAAGAACTAGAATAGATTAACCTCTTGCGTCGGCATCAGGGTCTAAATCTCTTCGAAATCCTCGACCATGGCCGCCGCTTTATTCTCTACTCTCGTTGACCGCGGAAATCACTGGGACGCACCCGAGTTTGACTATGCCGCTCTTCTGACCCGTGTCGGTGGTAACGTTGACACGAACAGTAACGTCACTCAAACTACCTTGTGCTCTGCTGTCAGCGGTCTCCTCTTCTCGTCGCCTTCGTTCTCACCGGTGATGAAGACTACATCCATGTCGGGCATTCTTTGTTCACATACCCAGCTGACTTCGAACGCGCCTCTCCTTACCACAACCTCGCTGTTGTGCACACCGGAAACGACCTTCACAGTGTCGCTCCCGTGATACTTCCAAACACCAGTTCCAACGTGTCGCCGAGACAGCTGCAAGACACTGGCCCATTTGGATGGTCCCGACATGTTAGGAGACGACCTCCTACCCTTCACTCCGGTCCCCATGGACCGGGCGAAGCGGACGTTGACACCTACCGATCACGTCGTGTCATGCCCTTCCTCACTACCTGACCTCCGTGCCCTTACTCAAGTACCTCCGGTCGCTACTCCATCGTCCAGTTCCGAAACCTAATCCTTGCTCCCGAGATCACTCATGCTGAAGTCGCCCGTCAAAATGCCATCGTCCCTCTCGTCCAATGGTTTCGCGCTGTTTGCACCAGCGATGCTGGCGGCTCCCTCCTACGCATCACCGGGAAATCTCTGGTCTCCCTGCCAACGTCATGGCTCTCCAACGATGCCTAAACTCAGTCAATCGTCCGTTGCTCACTGCCCTAGGCGCCACCGGACCTGGACTAACAACGACACTTTCAACGCGGGAGTGGCCGGCATCCAAGACACACTCAACAACGTCAACCGTGAACAACTGAACTTCGAGCGCACTCGAGGAACCAAAACCTTCACGTCCAAATACGGAGTAAATCTGGCCACTCGCATCCACAACCTCTGCAACGTGGCCTCTGACGACGACCTACCTGAGATCCATCGTCTCCTGGCCGATTGCTCGAAAGGTAGCGACTACAGCACCCTTCAATGTCATCTGACATACGCACCGGTGCTTCCCCGCTTGGCATCGAACAAGAAAACAAACCCTTGCCACTGGTCACATCCTCGACAAGGTCTTTCGAAAGTACGAGATTTCTTCCTCTGGACAGGTCCTCGGGGTTGGTCTCTCTCCTTTCTCTGTATATGTCAAGACACGAAAGAGTCCAAGGCTGTGATGGAGCTTAGCCTCCAAGGCAACCCTACGTCGAGGAGGACACTCCATCACTCTGCAGGACGCAGACACTCTCTCCACGCGGACGTGAAGTTTCCAGTCAGATCCTCGTACCGCCGAAAAAAACTCTACGGCTTCTCAATCTTAGTGGATGTCTTTCAATGAGTGTTGAGCACGCGATTCCGTGAAC